ATTTTTTTTTTTTTTTTTGATACCGAGGTTCCAGGCTTGCGCCTGACTAGTCCTCGAAGAAACAGCTCTCGGCCCCTCAGAAACTGCCTCCAGTTAAACCGCGGTAGCCACACAATGGCTCCCAGGTAGCCAATACCCTCAACTACCGCGCACAAGGAGTCGATCCCCAAGTGATTGCTCGCTGACCCTCCTAGCTCCAAGTTGGCCCTACCTATCCAGCCGCAGGGTCCCACCGAAGTGAATTCTTCATGCTGGCCCCCCCAACTTCATGCTGGCCCCACCTATTCCCACCGAGTTTCAGCCTTCCACACTGCCGCTTGTAGTTCTCAGTATTAGTTATTCCACCATTTCGCTCCGGGGGGCTTGAACCCTTGACCTCATGTCAAGGGTATCTCACTCTCAACCACTAGGCCAAGAGGTCATTGGTTAAAACTTGGATTTGTGTTAAACTTTTTATACTGACCCGTCCAACCGCAAGCGGTGCACCTCAAGAAAACCCCCTGCGGCCTCCAGCAGATGAGATTTTCTGGACAAGGTACCAGGTATCCTCCCAAGAGACTCGAACTCCCGACCTCAAGGGTAAGAGTTAGTCTTGCTGCCAGTTGCGCTTACTAACAAACAAACACTCTCATAAAAGGCGACAAAAAATTCGAAGACTAGAATATGGAGAATAACTTGCTAATACAAACACTCTCATAAAAAGATACAAAAATTCAAAAACTATAACCCATACACAGTTAGACCTACTTTTCCTGTATAAACAATTGTATTTTCTTCACGAGTACTCAAATTGATTAAAGTCCTTTATATGGACCTAATAAGTTGCATTTACAGATGATACTTGCATATATGTACAAATATTTTAAACGTACATGTCTCTTTCTTAAAGAGTCAGTTACATGCACAATGATATTTGTGTCTTTAACTAAATATGTTGTTAGCTTCATGTGTTGTCCAACTTTTATCATTGATATATAATATCAGTGATGCAGAAATTAGCTCTTGTAGACCAGATGCAGAAATTGAAGAAACCAAAATTATATCTTGGAATTAATTATGCATCAAAACCAGAATTAAAAATCTGACAAATATTGCAAACAAATGAATGTTAGTCCTGGATCGCTGCTGTCGGCTTTTGTTCACAGCTTGGCTGCTCTGTTTGCAACTGGGATGCACTGTTCGGGTAAGCAAAAATGCTTCCCGGCACAAACGGACACTTTTAAGATAGAAGAAGAAGATTTTGAACAACTCAATGTATTGAGTATTCAGTTTTTCTGTGTGTTTTAAAAAACAAAACTGCATCCCTATTTATAAGAACTCAAAGCAACTATCCTAGTGACTTTCCTATAAATTACTTACGCTGAAAAAACAGCCCATAATGGCTGCTATGAAAATGCTTTGCAGCTGCAAGGAAGTTGCACTGCAATAACAAGGAAGCTGCAAGGAAACAACAGATTATATATTTCTTATAATTCTTCCCCTAATCCTGCTGCTCTTGCTTGTTTCATATCATTCCAATCTTGGTCCTTAGCTCCATGAACCGAAGACGGCCAAGTGGTTTGGTAAGGATGTCTGTGAGCTGCCGTCCGGATTCGACAAACTCCAAAACAATATGTCCTTCATCGACACAATCACGGATAAAGTGAAAATGGGTATCGATGTGCTTACTCCGGTCATGGAGGACTGTATTTTTTGCAAGGGCAATGGCGGGCTGGTTGTCTACCATCAGAGCTGGTGGACGAGCTTCCTTGCCGGTCAGCTCGCCCAGCAACCGACGCAGCCAGACCGCCTGGCACGCCGCTGTGGGTGCTGCCACATACTCTGCCTCGCACGTAGACAGCGCCACGATCTTCTGTTTCAGCGACTGCCATGAGATTGGGGCCGATCCAAGGAAGACGAGCACACCGGAGGTGCTCTTCCGCCCATGAATGTCGTCTGCCATGTCTGCATCGCTGAAAACCGTGAGCCGCAGCCCACTTCCGCCGCCGGTCTTAGGGAAGATGATGCTCTGGTCCACCGTCCCCTTGACGTAGCGCAACAGCCGCTTTACCGCAGCCCAATGATCCTCTCGGGGTTCCTCCATGAAGCAACTGACATAGCTCATGGCAAATGCGATATCTGGCCTCGTGTGGACTAGGTAGCACAGCCCGCCGACGATACTCTGGTAGAGTGTTGCATCCACCTTCCCCGCGGTGCTGGCTTTCGTCAGCTTCAGCCGCTCCTCTATCGGAGTCGCGCATGACTTGCAGTCAGCCATGCCGCTCCGCTCCAACATCTTCCCCGCATACGCACGCTGGCAGAGAGTGATGGAGTCTCTCCCCTGCTTCACCTCGATGCCGAGGTAGTAGAAGAGCTACCCGAGCTCGCTCATGCGGAAATGAGTTGTCATCTCGTGCTTGAAGCCGTTGATGTCCCTTTCTCGTGCCCCAGTAATGATCAAATCATCTACATACACGCCGACGACGAGCTCCTCCTTCCCCTGTCGCCACGTGTAGAGCGCGTGCTGTCGCACAGCGCGCGAACCCAAGCGTACCCAGAGTGGCATCGAGCTTGGCGTTCCATGCTCGCGGGGCTTGTCTCAGCCCATAGAGTGTCTTCCGCAGCCGCAACACCTTGTGCTCCTTTCCCTTGACGACGAAGCCCGACGCTTGCTTGACGAAAACAGTCTCCACTAGCTCGCCATTGAGGAAGGCCGATTTCACGTCCAGGTGATGAATGCACCAGTCCTTCGCTGCCGCCATGGCTAGCAGTAGGCGAACCGACTCCATGCACGCCACTGGTGCAAAAACTTCATCAAAGTCAATGCCCTCTCGCTAGACGAAACCGCGAGCAACGAGGCGCTCCTTGTGCTTGACTATGCCGCCACACTCATCCCACTTGACCTTGTAGACCCATTTGAGCCCGATTGAATGACTGCTTGGAGATGGATCGACGAGCTCCCACGTCTCATTTTTCCTTGATTGCCTTCATCTCCTCTAGCATAGCTCGTCTCCAACTGACATCGCGCTCGGCCTGCGCTAACGAGGAGCAGCTCCTGATTGTCGAGTAATCGGCTCGCCAAGCCTGGTACAGCCGAGTTGCCAACGAAGTTGTCCATCCTGCGAAACCTCACCCCCTCGCCGTCGTGGAAGGCATCCACATACTCGTCGATGTTGGAGGAGAGGCGCACTCAACTGTCGTCGCTGGAGGTGTCCCCTGTCCTGCCGCAGCAGAGGACTGTGGTGGGTGCGCAGCCGCTGGTGGAGACTCTTCGCCTGTGCCCGCCATGGCCGAACTTTGTGGCTCATCCGACACCTCCACAGCTGCTGGACTTGGCGCGTCCGCAGCTGGCTCCTTTACCCCCGCATCTCCTCCACCGTGGATCACCAAATGCTCAATGACGAACGTACCGCCGACGCCACGGGCTTCCCCCGTGCCAGAATTCTCCCAATCCCAGGCCGCCATTTCGTCGAACGCCACATCCCACGAAACCACCACCTTGCCTTCACGCGGATCATAGAGCCGATAAGCCTTGCTCCCCTCATCGTAGCCTAGGAACACCATCGGTGTGCTCCTATCCTCAAGCTTGGACAGGAAGGGCTTCGTCTTCTTCACATGGCCAATGGACCCAAACGTCCTTAGAAACGTAACGTTGGGCTGCCTACCATGCCAAGCTTCGAATGGCGTCATGCCCTTCAGGGCCTTCATGGGCGCACGATTGAGGATGAACACTGCCGTGCTCACAGCCTCTCACCAGAACTCCGCTGGCATGCCCTTTGCCTTCATCATGCTTCGGGCCATGCCCACCACGGTCTGATTCCGCCGCTCCACTACACCGTTTTGTTGCGGTGAGTACGGCGCAGTGTGATGGCGCACCGCCCCTTGATTTGCACAGTACATGGCGAATTCCACCGATGTGAACTCTCCACCGCGATCCGTCCTCAGCACGCGCAGCTGCTTCCCGGACTCTGCCTCAGCTCGCGTCTGGAACCGCTTGATTGCCTCTGCCGCTTGATCCTTACTCGTCAGGAGTTGTAGCCACATGAAACGGCTACAGTCGTCCACGAGCAGCAGGAAGTAGCGTCGTCCGCCATGCGTAGCCGGCGTGATCAGCCCGCAGAGGTCGCTGTGGACGAGCTCGAGGACGTCCGCCGCACGATACTTGGCCGCCTTTGGGAAGGGCAGCCGTCTCTGCTTCTCTGCCAGCAGCTGTTGCACACCTCGCCTGTGTGCTCGATATGCGTTAGCCCACGCACCATCTTCCTCAGCCGGCCGAGTGCGTCGAAGTTCAAATGGCCGAATCGAGCATGCCATAGCCATGGCTCCTCGGTGTGTCGTACCGCTAAGCACACCGGCTGCTCCATCTTCAAGTCGAGGAGGTAGAGGCAGTTCCGGGAACGCTGGACCATGGCCAACAGCCGCTGTTCTCGGTCCCTGAGCTTTAGCACGCCGCCTTTGACAAGCACCTCGCAGTCGTGCTCGTCCAATTGCCCGATACTGACGATGCTTGAACGCAACTGCGGGATACAGTACACATCCGTCAATGCGCGGTGCTCGCTGTTCTGGCACTGGAAGATGACGGTGCCGGACCTCGAATCTCCACCTTCGAGCCGTCGCCGAATTTCACCGTCCCTGTTACGCTATCATCAAGCTCGGAGAAGGCTTCCTTGGAGCCGGTCATGTGGTTATTGACGCCGAAGTCCAGGAACCTCCTCTGCTCCATGCCACCGCCCATTCGTCCAAGGTGGACTTGGGCACACGACTCGTCGAGGTGAACTGCCTGCAGTGCCTTTTCCTGCTCCGCAGCCGCCGCCTTGACTTTCTCCAACTTTGGCTCGACGTCGTGCAACGTGCAGAACTTCGCCATGAGAAGAGATGGCTCCTCGTCGTCCACCTGCGCGAGGTGCGCCTCCTTCTTCTCCTTCTTGGGATTCTTGCAATCCCGGGCCCAGTGCCCTGTCTTCCCGCAGCGTCGACAAGTGTCATTGTCGATCGGACGCGCGTTGTCGCCGTCCTTCTTCTTCTACGGGGCCTTGCCACGGCGCTTGTCGTAGCTGCCACGACTAGAGGAGCCTTCCACAGGCCGCCGCTCGCGCATACGAGCCGCCCATTCTTCCTCGGTCAACAGTAACTTGCCGCTGGTGGTTATCGTCGCCATCTCCAAGCGGTCATCCACCGCCCGCAAGCGTCCAGTCACATCCTCAATCGTGAGGGTGGACATGTCGATTAACGTCTCGATGGAGAGCGCGATCTGGGCGTACTTAAGCGGCACGACGCGCAAGTATTTCGCGACCGCCTCCTCGTCGCTGATGGTGACGCCGTGCGCCGCCAGCTGACTGACGAGCGACTGCAGACGAAGCGAGAAATCCTCTACTACCTCGTCGTCGCGGAACGCCAGTGCCTCATACTCCCGCCGCAGCTGCTGCGCCTTCGCCTTCTTTGCGCGATCAGATCCGATGCGCATGGCCTTGAAGGCGTTCCAAGCAGCCGTTGTGGAGTCCTTTGCGCCCAGCGACTCCACGTACTCGTGAGACACAGCGGACAGAATCGCTTCCATCGCTGCGCAGGTCTCTTCTTCATCCTCGGTGCCTTCTTCGATGGCCCGCCAAAGCTTGCGCGCACGCAACTTGACCTTCATCAGCATTGCCCACTCGCCGTAGTTTGTGCATGTGAGGACCGGCTAGTTGGCCCTGCCAACATCCCGCACGGTCCTGTGGATGATGACCTCCTGTAGAGGTGAAGCATCTGCTCCGCTCCCTTACACCGTCGACGCAACATCTTGGCTTGCCATGGTTCTGATACCAGTTGTTAGTCCTGGATCGCTGCAGCCGACTTTTGTTCACAGCTTGACTGCTCTGTTTGCAGTTGGACTGCACTGTTCGGGTAAGCAAAAATGCTTCCCGACACAAACAGACACTTTTAAGATAGAAGAAGTAGATTTTGAACAACTCAATGTATTGAGTATTCAATTTTTCTGTGTGTTTTCAAATACAAAATTGCATCCCTATCTATAAGAACTAAAAGCAACTATCCTAGTGACTTTCCTAGAAATTACTTAAGCTGAAAAAACAGCCCATAATGGCTGCTATGAAAATGCTTTGCAGCAAGGAAGCAGCAAGGAAACTAACAGAATTATATATTTCTTACAATGAATGCATATAACAATTTATCCTCTCATGATACAATTACGCATACACCATCAAACAAAGAAAGCAGCTGCCCCCTACTGAAATGTAGTCAACAATCATTCTACAAACTACAAACAACAAATCCAACAAATACTATGTACACAAATTANAAGAGAAAAAAAAAAAAAAAAGAAAAATGGCAATCCATAATTAAAAAGAAAAAAGGAAGAGAGAAAAAAAATAATAATAATCCTTTTGTTAGACAATGTAAAGAATCAACACTAAAGAACTATAATATTTTTCTGAAACAAATGTGCAGCTAGACCTGATAGGACTACAACAAGAATGGCAATGTATACACACATTCTCTTATAATTCCCATTTTTGTTCAATCTCTCGGCCTCGACCCTTGAAACTAAATTCGAGCTTTCGCTTGTCGAACAAGAAGCCCGAATCTCATTGTCATTTGGGATATCAACCTCGGATAATTTCTCCACCTGATTCACATATTTCCAAGAACACGTTCTAAATGCAATTAACTTTTCAAGAAAGATAAACAAATTTATATTCCATTCCAGCTCCAAGTAGCTACACAATAAAAAGAGCAACTTTATCCACCCTAAAGAATATATTTTTATTTAGTGAATTGTGCAAAAAATTCGAAATTTTGTTTTCCAGAGAGCATTTATCCAGCATTGCTTCAAAAAGAAATTATCGACACATAAAAGATATAAAAACAAAGAACCTGCCTGAAGACTTTCGGATGAGATCTCGGTGGCTTTTAATGCAGAAGTTTCAGCAGATAAAGGATCAGCTGGATCAAGCCTCTTCGACCGAAACTCTTTCTCATCACAATTTCTCTTATCTTGAAGAATTACAGTTGCATTTTTCTGTTGTTTCGTTAATTTATCTCGCAGTAATTTGTTTTCCTTCGTGCACGAGATTAACTGCATCACAAAATCAATTCATTCAGTTTTACACATATCATATGTACTAACATGAACATCAGGCTTTCCCATTCCTGGCCATGCTTTTAGCAACTTAACTGCAAAAATTAACTATTAGTTACCTTCCAAAATTACAAATACCTCAAAAAGATAATATTTTGTAAGGTACTTAGACTCTTAGAGAGAAACAAGCCA